TATGTATATGTATATGTATATGTATATGTATATGTATATGTATATGTGTGTGGTGAACATATCTAACACACCTTCCTACACCTATTTTCCTTTATCCTATTTTTAGAAAAGCATTTTATTAGTTTATTTATTGCTGAATATTTCATGCCACCATCACTTTGCCACACAGCTCTGTGAGCTCTGATCAGCGCAGTTCAGGGCCCGGTATGTTGCTAACATATTTTTCAATTTGTCAGTCTTTAGGGAAAGCTGTTTACCAACTCCCTGTCATTCAATGCCTCTCCCTCCCTTTTTTTCCCTTCTTCTTTTTAAATTGCTGTTTTCAAGCACCCCTACAGCAAAATCCTTCACTTGAAAAAGTAAACAAGGAGGTTGTGATCTTCAGATGAAAGAGTAAAGTTACGGAGGAGCTACAGAAGCAACTCAGAGGTAAATAAGGAAGGCATCAAAAGGCAAGGGACGTCTAATGAGCTGAAAGGACTCAAATTCATGGCCTTTGAAAGCATTTCCTCTCAATCCTACATTGGCAGCTTCAAAGACAAGTCCTTCAAAAGATGGCCCATGAATATGGAAATGCATCAGGACAGAAGGAACTTTCTGAAATATAGATATCTGAACCAGGCTAAATCCAGTATTTAATATATATCTTGTTTTTCCATATCTGATTGGTGTGAAACAATGCTAAAACTACTCCACCATCCAAGTTGAGCATGACTTTGGGTGGCTCTTAGGACACATTTGTATAATATTCTGAGCAACAGTAGAAAAGTGGGCTGCTGTTTCCTTCTCCTGGAATATTTTTCTTTCAATGTGTCAGTGTGGTCTATAGCCTATTCATATCCAAAGCAGACCTGATCCTGCTTAGTTTTTGATCCCCAAGAAGGTCAACTACTTTCTCAGACAATGTGAGATGGAGCTCAGAGTAAAAGTTGTCTCATCTACTTATGGTTAAATCGTCCTATTGTGGTTGACCCATGGAAGCCACCAGTCACTGGAACTTCTTTAATGGCAGCAGCTCTGGGGTAGCATTAAGGAACAGCTCCAATTTCAGCTCCCAGTTTACTAGTGTGCAGTTGATCCAGTCTTTCAAACCTCTGATTATCCCCTGCTACACGTTGGTGGTGCTTGTTGGCATCTTTGGCAACTATCTTCTTCTTTATGTCATCTGCAAGACCAAGAAAATGCACAATGTCACCAACTTCTTCATTGGAAACCTGGCCTTCTCAGATATGTTGATGTGTACAACCTGCATCCCCTTTACCCTGGCATATGCTTTCAACCCTCAGGGGTGGATCTTTGGGAAGTTCCTGTGTTACTTTGTGTTCCTGATGCAGCCCATGACTGTCTATGTCTCTGTTTTCACACTTACTGCCATTGCTGTGGACAGGTAAACAAATTCTTCTTATTAATCAAAAGTCTAATGCAATGTTTCACAAGCTTGGCAAGCTGGAAGATGTGCGGATGTCAACTTCTAAAATTTAGGAAGTTGAAGTTCATACCTCTTCAAGTTGCCAAGGTTGAGATAACTGGTCTAAAGAGAGATCTGGTTCACACACCTCTTCCTAAACTGTCATATTTGGCATGTTAATCAGAGATTCATTTGACCTGCTGTGCATTTCCCTTATTTGGTTTTGGCCTAGTGTGTTGTGTGAGTCTAAATATTGAAATTTATCTGGAGAACCATGTTTAGATGAATTATGCCTTAACACAATCTAGATTTTTTGTTAAGAGGAAGCTCTGCAGCTCAATGGTGAAACACATGGTTGACAGAAGAGAAGACTTCTTATTCCATCATTGACCCTCCCTAGTTAAGTTGAAATGCAACTCATTTTGAGGGCATGTAGCTGGGATATTACCCTGAAGGATTGAAGCTCTCCAGGAAGTTGAGTTCCTTGCTCTTCCCAATTCTACTCACAAATTGTGAGGATTGATTTTGGAATTCTCTGTCTGTACTTACATTAGAGTTTGGTTCTTTCCTTAGGACAGTATGATAGGTCAATGTTCTTTCTTTCTATAAATGTCCTACTGTTTTCATTTCATTCTTGCTGGGAAGGAACTTATTATAGTTGGAGATTAAATGGGTTCTTCCTTCTTGTATTTCCAGCAGAGATTTAAAAACAGAGCATTTACTGGTTGATCATCATTATCCTGTTGTTTGCTCTTTTCTGACTTGTGGCCAACTGCTTTAGTAAATAAGTTAATTTTTACATCTTTTCTCCTCCATGGGTGGGTTGAGTGAGTGGCTATGACCAGAGAATTAGGTTTATTTATTCTGCTTATCCTTTTCACAGCCTGGTCCAAGGAAGGATCACAAAGACAGCTGGTTTCTCACTGCAATGGGAATTGTCCCTATCCTTCAATTAACAATGTGGTATATTATTATTTGCCACAGAGAAAAAAAGTCAGTGCCATGGCCACCAAATGCAACTGTTGCCTTTGGAAAGCCAGACAAACGTAGAAAGTGTTTGGAACTGGGAGTGAGTGATAGAACATTTCCATAGCAACCTAGTCCTAGCAAAGATTGGGGATGCAACTTGTACTCTGTACTTTCTGACAATACATTGAACAGCATATCCAAGAGGAGATGGACACATTCCAAAAAGTAGATAAGACCAAGAGAAAAATCGATGCTGATGGGACTAAATAAATAATTAAAAATAACATAACAACTGCATATCTGGAAGCCACAATTCTAGGGCAATCTTTGAAGCTTTCTGGAGAGTCTCTGTTTGGGCTTTTAGAGGGTTTGTGGTACCCTGGACCAAGTTGTGAACAATATTTATTGAAAATAATGGGACAGATTGTACAAGAGATCTAATGATATCTACAGCCCCTCTAGTGACAGAAATGAGAACCAGCTCCTTAATCTTTCCAGGCTAATGTGTTTGTAATGTCCATAACAGGACAAAACTAGATTACATCAGATTCTTGGCCATGTATTCCCCTGGATTTAATATGTGCACCATATTCCCCTTGTGTTGGCCTTCGTAAATGGTACATGTGGTGGCTCAGTGAAATAGTAGATAAGAGAAAAGGAACATCTTTCACATGTACCAAACAGCAAATCTGGGTGGGTGCATTGGGTAATCTCAGGCCAGGGATAATGAATGCCTCTCTACCATACAAGATCAGAGTTGACTCAAAACAAAGCAATGCTAATTACAGGTGTGATATTGCTGGCATGTGGCAGGTTTCTGTTGTCCCGGGCCATAGTTATTTAATATAGTATATTAGGATTGTCACAAATTGCAAGGGCTCAGATGCTAATGCAATGAAGTGTCCAGAGGAGATGGGGAAGGAGATGGGAAAGGAATTTCCCATCTCCCTATCTCCCTATGCTGAGTACTTTAAAAAAAGCATAAATAGGCTTATTAAGCATATCGAAGACCAATACAGGTAGTCCATGACTTACAAATTTGTTTAGTGACCATTCAAAATTACAACAGCACTGAAAAAAGGTACTTATGACCATTTTTTCACACTTACGACCATTGCAGCAACCCCATGGTCAATTGATTTATGTTTGGATGCTTGACAACTGACTCACATTTATGACAGTTGCAGTGTCCCAGAGTCACGTGATCCCCTTTTGCGACCTTCTGACCATCGAAGTCAATGTGGAAACCAGATTCATTTAACCCAAAGGTGCTTTTTAAGAGACAACTGGACTTTCCAGTTTTTATTTGAAGATGTTTCACTTCTTATCCAAGAAGAAGCAAAACGTCTTCAATGAAAAAAACAGAAAGTCCAGTTGCCTCTTAAAAAGCACCTTTGGGGCAACCCTGACCTGGATGACTGAGAACCTCCATAGACAGGTTTACTTAACAACCATGATACTGATTTAACAACTGTCTTTGGCAGTTTCCTCCATAACCAAAGGTGGTGGTACAATCTGGAAGGCTTCAAAACTTCAAAGAAGCTAGCTTTTCTTAGCTTAAGGTATAAAACTATTTTTAATTACTTTTTAAATCTCCTTTTCCTTCAGAGAACTCAAGGCTGTAGATGAACTGTCCACATGCTCCCTTCTGTATTCATCAAAAGAATGCATTCCATAAACAGCTGTGGTTTGACAGCTCTTCATATGGAGAAGCTTCTTCAGAAGAGGTCCTACAGGGAATAAAAGGGAAAGTGTTTCTATATTGATCAGTGGCCATGCAGAAAATCCTCCATAACCAAATTATATGTCCTCCCAGTAGTTATGGAGGATTATCTTTTGCAGTGTCCTCTTCATTTTCAAGGAAAGTTTTTCCATGGAGAACAGGTTCATAATTCAATATTAGAATATTAGAATGCAGACAGTGATCATTCCTGATTGATAGTTCTCATTCTCAAATTAGCTGTTTAGTGCAGCACAGCTTTGCAGGGATGAGATGAACCGAACACAATTTTTTTTTAATTTATTTATTTTGATTTGTCAATTGCTTACAAGATAATAGGTATAAGTATATACATAGTTATGAATACATGAAATGGGTACATATAAGAAAAATAAAAGAAACAATAGGACAGGGACGGTAGGCACATTGGTGCGCTTATGCATGTACCCTACAGACCTCTTAGGAAAAAGGTGAGGCCAATAGTAGACAGTCTAAGGTTGAAGTTTTTGGGGTTTGGGGAAGAAACCACAGAGTCAGGTAGAGTATTCCAGACATTGACCACTCTGTTGCTGAAGTCGTATTTCCTGCAATCAAGTTTGGTGCGGTTAACCTTGAGTTTGTATCTATTGTGTGCTCTTGTGTTGTTATGGTTGAAGCTGACAGGTAAGTCATTGCAATGTATGATTTTATATACCATACTTAGATCAGACCGAAGACGGCATAATTCAAGGTTTTCTAGGTCTAGAATTTCAAGTCTGGTGGCATAAGGTATTCTATAATGAGTACAGGAGTGGAAAACTCTTCTTGTGAAATATTTCTGGACTTTCTCAACTGTGTTAATATCAGATACATAATGTGGGTTCCAGACTGATGAGCTGTATTCGAGTATTGGTCTAGCAAATGTTTTGTATGCTCTAGTTAGTAGTGTGATATTACCAGAGAAAAAGCTATGTAGGATTAGGTTAACTACTCTTAATGCCTTTTTGGCTATGTCGTTACAGTGAGCTCTACCACTTAGATCATTAGAGATGAGTATTCCAAGGTCCTTTACAGAGCTTGGATCATCAACAAGGTCTGGAGTATTCAGCTTGTATTTTATTTTCTGATTTTTTTTGCCAATATGTAAGACTGAGCATTTATTTGTTGAGATTTGAAGTTGCCATTTGTTTGACCATTGTGATATATAGTCAAGATCTTTTTGAAGGGTAGCAGTATTGTCTGTTGTATTGAACAGCTTTACATCATCAGCGAAGAAAACGCAGTTGCTCTTAATGTGATCACAGAGGTCATTTATGTAGAGTATGAAGAGAGTTGGTCCTAGAACACTGCCTTGGGGACACCACTATTGACAGGTACAGAATTTGATAGGACACTCTCAATTTTGACCATTTGTTGTCTGTTTGACAGGAATGCTTCTATCCAGTTATGTAGGTGTCCAGAGATACCATAAGATTTTAGTTTTAGGAGTAGTTTGTCATGTACCACTGAATCAAAGGCTTTACAGAAGTCTATGTAGATTGTCACAAATTGCAAGGGCTCAGATGCTAATGCAATGAAGTGTCCAGAGGAGATGGGGAAGGAGATGGGAAAGGAATTTCCCATCTCCCTATCTCCCTATGCTGAGTACTTTAAAAAAAACATAAATAAGTTTATTAAGCATATCGAAGACCAATACAGGTAGTCCATGACTTACAAATTTTTTTTGCCCTATTGTTTTGCCCTGATCGAGTTGTGTAGTCCATATGTTTTTGCAGTGTAAGAGTTGCAGATTACAGGATAGTTTTTTTCTGAA